CCCTGTAGTGTGTGGTGTCCTTGGGAAGAATATTTTTAAAGTTAGCCAAATTTTAAAAAATTTGCCAGTAACACCATTTTCCTTCTTTCTTTTTCTCGTTGTAGCCTAAATTAACAATGGCAAAATGCAGGCGAAATGTGGAAAATTTCCTAGAAGCTTGCAGAAAAATTGGTGTACCTCAGGTAATAAATATATCCATTTCATATAGCATAAATAAATATGGGTATTATTTTCCTAAAATCGTTCAGAAATGCAAGTCTCTAAAATTTTGTAGGACTAGCTCTTAGCTAAGTTGATAATTATTCACATGATTTTGTACTACCAGAGTCAGTCAATATACTTTTGAACAGTTGTTCTTTAATAATTTCTAAGAATCAAGCTAAGAAATCATACACGTATAAATTTAAATAATTATATTGTAATAAATGCTAAGTAATTAAATGCTAAGTAAATAATCAAAAAATAATTCGTGTGATCTATTGACAATAGCCGAAACAGCCGAGTCAAAGATACCAATGATCGTGAAGATGGCACAGGACCAGGCAGTGTTTTGTTCTGTCACACATAAGGTTGTCATGAGTTGGAACCAACTTGATGGCAGCTCATAACAACATTCCGTAAACATCCCCGCTTACTCTGTTTGACTTGGAAAATACATGTATAACAACTAACTAAACTTTAGTTAGCTAATAATTAACTACGTATACAACAAGGAGTCTATCCTGCAAAATAAGCGCATTTCAGATGAGAAGGCTTCAGTTGCCTTCAGTTTTTTAATGCTTGCTTTAATACTTGTAAAAAAAAATTTATTTTGAAATAATTTTAGACTTACATTGCAAAAATATAGTACAGAGAGTTTCTGTATACACTTTGCCCAGCTTCCCCTAATGTTAATATCTTCTATAAATATAGTACAGTTATACAAATTAAGTAATACTAGACCCAGTACTGTTAACTAAATTACAGATCTTACTTAGATTTTACCAGTTTTTCCACTAAGCTCCAGTACTTTGAGTTTAGCACACAAGAGGCCATTTCTACACATTTTTTCCTACTGTTCGGATTCATTGCTGCCAGGTTTCTCAGTTATAGCTTTATTGTCATTTAGTAGTACAAATAGTTAAACTTTATATATAGTTGGAATTAAGGGGAAAAAACTTGATAAACTTTTAATTCAATTACCTTAAAAAAAATTATATAAAACTAAGCATAGTACTCTTAACAAATATATGTGTTGTGCTTCAGGTGAAAGTTGACACTCAAGTTAATTTCTCATACAAAAATTTATGCACATACTGTTCTGTGACATTAGTTGCAATTCCCCACAATGTGACAGCACACTCCCGCTTTCCACCCCAGGTTCCCTGTGTCCGTTCAACCAGTTCCTGTCCCTTCCTGCCTTTTCATCCTGCCTCCAGGCAGGAGACATGAATATTATATTTAATGCCATGATGTCTAGACATATTTAAAGAAATAAACAACTTAGTGCTATTTGATACTTTTTCATTAACCACAACCATTACAATTCTTATTGTACTTTGGCCATCCTTCAAGGAGAAAAACATGACTCTTTTGTATCACCTTCTTAAATTAGCTGTCAGAAATCCAGGATTGGCCCCTAAGCAAAACAAGGCCACGATTTCTCACAAAGTTAAGCCCTTGTCCCAGTGGCTTTCACCACAATAACTCCCTGGCACCCAGTTCGCCATACCTCTCTCTTCGCTCGCAGGAGTTGAGAGGGACAGAGCCTGCTTGTCCCTGGGCAGCCTTCTCTTCAGTTCTTTTACATGTTGCGGTGGAAGAAAGGAGCTTAGTCAGTGTGCGTCCTCCTGGTTCTTTTTCTTCTCCAGTTCAGTGGTTCATCATTCCACTATTTCTTTTTCTTTCTTTTTTTGTGGGGGCTGAGTTTTTTGTTTTGGGTTTTTTTTTTTTTTTTTTTTACTTTATTTATAAAAGAACTGAAATTTACATTTTGTGATAGTTAGCAAGAAACTTTTTTGTTCCTGTTGACAAATTCAAAGCAAAGTTTTTATTTTTGTATCAGATGCTGTTTTCCAAAAGTTTCATCTTCTCTTTAGTGCAAACCATTTTAAAGGTACTGAGAGCATTTACTAAGATTTCTAAACAAACAGCATGTATTTTATCCCTGCTAACAAGCAGGTTCTAATTCGTATACCTGCACATTAACGTTCAGTACCTCCCCTCTGTCTCCCTACGGAAGGTGCTCCTACCTGATGATCACGTTACACAGATGTGCCCAGTGCTTGCTCCAGTTCCCAGCCATCCTGTGTGAACAGGAGAATGTGGCACGGGTTTAAGTCTGTGGAATGGGAACCACAGAATAGAAACAGACACTGCACACCTAGAGAGGAGAGTGCTGGAAGAGGCCCCACATAAGCAAGACATGCTAACAGACTTAGCCCAGGTCAAAGCATGTTAAAAGTACTGTTCACCAGCTTTTCCAGTCATTATACTTGTCCACAGGGAGCCCCGGTGGCTC